GCTGGCTGCGCGCAAGGCAAATGTCCTACCGCTGTGCTTTCACTCCAGTCCCAAACATCTAGTATAAAAATAAATATTTATTGAACTTTGTTTCTGGTCTTAGTTAAGTTTCTCTCTCTGGCATCTGCTGTTTTCTTTTGTTTCATCTTCTTTTTATTACCTTTCATCTTCTTTGACAGCTCTCTGATATTTCAAAACTTTTTCTGCCAAACTTAATTTCAAGGGGGAGGTGGAGAGGGCACTTTTTTAACAGTTGAAGATCTTAGTAAGTCAACTTGAATTCCTTCTGTTGTGATCTTTGGGTTTTGTTTCCAAATCTGTTTTCCTTTAATTATGGCTAGCTGACTCCCTTTACATGTAACCAAAAGAATTAAGACTGTTCTAAAAATCTACTTTAGTGCAAGTTTTTAGTATTCATAAGGCTTCAAATGTCAGTTCTCTGTCTTAAGTTTAGACTATTTAGCTACAGGAAGAACACCATATTGTTAATATTGGAGGAAAGTAGTTTCATTCCTTCTTTTACAGTCATTTTATAATTAAAAATTTTTACTAAGGTTACCATGATTTACAAAGTCATTCATAGTTGAGTTTTAGGTATATAAGTTCCTTTCAAAGATACATACTACATAGTTTAGTAGAGCTTTTCTTTTATCATGATATCGTCATCACAGCTATTTTTTAAAAGTAACTTTTAAAAGGCAAAGCACCGTGGGTAGGGCGTTTGCGGTGCATGTGACCTACCTGGGTTTGATTCCTCTGTCCCTCGTGGAGAGCCTGGCAAGCTACCGAAAGTATCCCACCTGCATGGCAGAGCCTGGCAAGCTCCCCATGGCACATTCGTTATGCCAAAAATAGTAACAAGTCTCACAATGGAAACATTACTGGTGCTTGCTCGAGCAAATAGATGAACAATGGGACGATAGTGTATAGTGCTAACTTTTAAAATTTATTTGCTGTAAAAATAGTACAGGTTATAGAACTTTAAATTTTCTCTATATAAGTAATTTTCTTAAAGCAAACTATCATTATTCAACCTTTAGCTCCTTAAGGAATTTGATCCTTGAGAAAACTTCCCTTACTTAAATCATTATACTTTAAATGGGTATATATGCTGCTTGTATTGCTTAGTATGAAAAGGATAATTTGATGTAAAGATTCTGTCTGATTTAGTCTCAAGATTGTAATCATCTCTTTTTAGCTTTAGACAATCTTTTTTTTTTATTGGGATTGCCATTAGGTATGTTTATAAAACTAAAAAACATGGTTTATAAAACTAAACATACCATCTTTCAAAACCATCACAGTTAATTTTCTTCTAAATGTAGTATATTATTTTTTAGGATCTGTAGTAAGGCCTCCAATTCTATTCTGGTGCAGTAAGATTAACAGTAAAAAAAAGTTAATTTTTTTACTGGTTTACAATTTTATGGAATTTGTGTTGTTTAGCTTCATACCTCTAGATGAGTGTAATTATCATCACTCCTATCAGCACTGCAATTCTAGTGCCATCCAACCATTAAAAATGATCCTGTTTTTTATTCTTCCCCTACCTTAGCCCCTTCCTATGGTAAGCATTATAGTTTTCATGAAGACCAGCAATTTGTTTTGTTGTTTCTTGACAGTTCTTTTGTTTTAGTACACAAGTTAATGACACTATCTCTTGTCTTTCATGTCCTTCCAACATAGCTTAATCACCTCAATTTAAATTTTTTAAACCTACCTACCTATTGAAATGCTCTTTAATTTGTTCTTCACTTTTTGGAAACTACAGTTTTCAAACTATAATTTTTCCAAATTATAACTGAAGTCATGTATTTTATAGTTTAATGGACTCATGGATGATTTCACAACTTCAGAACTCATTTTGTTAAATGAAGTGGTAACATTTTATGCATTATTAAGCCAAGTAGAATAATTTCCTTCCTCTTAGCCATAACTTCTATATGTGTTCATATTGAAAAAATTTTATAGTGTGTTGTAGAAGATTTGAGAGGAGTGTTTCTAAAGATAAAAGAAGTGGTCCTTTAGAAAAGTATATTCCGATCAAGAAAATCCAGACAAAATTGGTGAAATGGGAAAGTGATTAAAACATTCCAGTTTGTGTTATGATGCATTAAATTATGTTCATTTAGTAAAAGGTCAGTTGGAAAAGTGAATTTTAAAATAATAACATTATTCCCCCTTTAAAAAATGCCTTATACTTATGTACATGTACACAGACATGTCCTTTTAAAAGATGTCTTGAGTATATGTGTTTATAATACAAAGTATTAAAAACCATATTTTTATCTTTTTTACTTTTGCCATATTTTGTATTTAAAGTGGTTTAGAAAGGAAGTCCTGTTTTTCAGTACAATGCAGATAGTTTTATTTAATAAACTTTTTAAAAGAAATTAGAAAAGTAATTTACTGAACCTTGTGGACAGAATAGCCATAATATAAAACTATCTTGTATTATGTTGAACTAAATTTCTTATATGTTTACAGTTTTCCACATTACTGCTTACAAATATACTTAAAATTGTGTGTCTTTTACCCCTCAAATGCATTATTTTTTTCTTTTATATGTGAACTACACAAGATAAAAGCAAATAAAAAGAAGAGTATAAAATTCATCAATGAGGGGCTGGAGCGATAGTACAGTGGTTAGGGCATCTGCCTCGCACGTCTCTGGCCCATCTATCCATTTTTATGCATGTGTAAACCTTTACCTGTAACATGTATTTGATGAAAAATAAGCTTTTTACTCTTCTTTTTTCACTTACCATTTCTTTCCCTTCCTCCCTCTATCCTCTCTTCTCTTTTACTCTCTCCTTATTGTGTGTGTATTTTTGAATGGCTATATTATATGTATTGCTGGAATTTGTTTGGTCAGTTTCCTATCATTGTTTATTTAGGATGTTTCTGTTTTCTATTAGAATATCATGGGAAGAGACATCTTTATTTAAAAAAAAAATTGGATAGATAGTGCCACATCTGTGCTCAGGAATCACTCCTGGCCATGCTCAGGGAACCAGGTTACTAACAGGGAGCTAACCAGGGTTGATTATGTGTAAGGCAAGCTCTTTCCTCCAGTGCTATCTCTGGCCTGAGAATACACATTTTTGTAGATAAATTTTCATTGAATAGTGAATATAAGCTTTGTACTCTTGGTAAATTTATGTTATCCACTATATAGATTATAATAAAGAGCTCACAACAAAAATTTGCTTACTCATCATGGAATTTAAATTCAGGGAGAGATGTTAATCAAATAATTAAACTGCTTTATATATTTATATGTATATAGTTTATGAGTGAAATGGATACTATGAAAGAAAACAATATTGTTCTGTGAAACAGTATAGTCAAAGATCCTTACTGGATATAACACCTCACTGAGAAAGTACTACTTGAATTGGCAATTAACTAATTAGAACTGATTGAAGGGCCATTGGTATCTCAGAGGCAGAGTGTTTCAGACACAGTGAATGGTATTGTGTAAAGGTTCTGTGGCAGGAGGTATTATGAAATATTTGAGAAAGTTAAAGAATATGTGTATAGTAAAAGCAGCTAATAAGAAGCAGCGGTATAATAAATTGCCAGAGAGATCTAGGCAGGTCAAGCAGAGTCTCATAAGACACATTAGGATTTTTGGTCTTTATTTAAGAGTAATGGAATGCTGTGGAAAAGTTTTAAGTTGAGAGTAAGAACTAATTGCAGGATAAACCAGGTGGACACAAAGCAGCATAGATGGAGTGAAATCAGTTGGGGGGCTTTTCATTGGCTGACATATAGAAATGAAAAAATGATAAAATTATTCTTAGAGTATATTCTTAATTATTGTTTTAAAAACTCCCCAAAGTGAAATTCTTTACCCAAAGAGCCAGTATTTTATTTTGTTTTGTTTTTATTTTACATATATTTTTTGCTTCCCAAGCAGTGCTCAGGGGACCAGGGATCATTACCAGCGATTCTTGGTCAACTGGACTGGTAGTTCAATGCATATACTTGAGGGTGCTGGAGATTACCAGGGTCACTCTGGCAATACTTTGGGGACCATGTGCCAGGGATTGAACCAGGGTCAATTGCATAAGAGGCATGTGCCTTCAGCCCTGTACCTCTGGTCCCCAAAAGGTAGATGTTAAAAGCTTATGGTAGATAGCAGATGGCTTCTTAGAAAGATTTTTTTCAGTGTTCTCTACCAAGAACAGTGTTTTGTAGTGCCCATTTCTATACTGTTTTACCAACAATGAGCACTTCTTTCTCCCCTTCTAACAGCTTATCCAGAAATTAAGTAAATACTTAAGGTTTAAAATTTGTTATTTTAGCAACTTTATTATATATGTATTGATCTTATTTTGACTTTAGAAAGTATGATTTTCTTTCTTTTATTTTTCCACTGAAAACTAAAACTGAATTAGAGGTTTAATGGAAATGTTGCCTTGGGAACATGAGGGAAAATGTAAGATTGATTTAGATAAGACTAAGCAAGCGTGGCTGGAAAATTGGATTTTTATTAAAAATTTTAAGAATTCAACCCCTGTTCTATGTAATGAAACATAAAACTTTTATTTTCCTAAATACTTTATTGAAACTTTGTTCTGTCATAAGTTTGATCTTAGGACTCTAAACTACTTTAAAATCTTTTAGATTTATTTAATAAAGAATTCAAAAGTATATAAATATTTTGGCCACCAATATGGAAATATGGAACTATGTCTGAAATATTTTTGTTTTTATAGATAATAGCTGAGAAATAAACATAAAATGTATTTTAGTTCTGCTGAATAACATTTTGGTAGTATAAGGTTGGCTGTTGCTGAAAGTAATGAATTAAGAGAAATAATTAGTTTTTGAAAAGCTATTGAAATAGTTAATTTTTACCTAAATATTAGATTTAGAATAAAAGTTATATTTATAATTTTTCATCATTTTGCTATTTTTGTGATTCTAAATATTGAACATAGTTATATTTAAAATGCATATTACTCACTGCTGTTTTTTCTTTCTCTCAATAGTTAAAAGATGTTGATACTCGGAAAATCATAAAAGCAATGCTTTCTTACGTATGGCCCAAAGACAGGCCAGATCTGCGTGCTAGAGTTGCCATTTCCCTGGGATTTTTGGGTAGTGCAAAGGTAAGAATAGGAAAATTATGAATTGTTTGTTGCTATAAGTTAAACATGATCTGATGTTTCCTGGTAATGAAACTTAGGGCTAACTAATATAAGCTTCCACTATGTGGGAAGTATTGTCGACTTTTTGAACCCTTACTTTATATATATAATTCTTTTAAGAAAAATGTTATTGACCTAACATTGATTTATTGCCTTTAGACTTCAGTTATGCAGTATTATGATTCAATATCTGAATGTGGCAACATAACACTTCTTTGTAGTCAGCAAAAATCACATGGTAATAATGCCTGATTTGTCTGTGTATCAGACTTTTATCAGCCTCAGCTTAATGGAATTGTTTCCTGAAATCAGAGTAAAATACAAAACCATTAGTTGTAACAACTCACAAAGAACTTTATAAAAAGTTTCAAAGCCATGTTGGCTTTTTTTTTCTTTTTGGGTCATACCCAGTGATGCTCAGGTGTTACTCCTGGCTCTGAGCTCAGGAATTACTCCTGGCGGTTCTTGGGGAACCATGTGGGATTGAACCCGTGTCGGCCTCATGCAAGGCAAACACCCTACCTGTACTATTGCTCCTGCCCCTGTTGGCTTTTATTTAATACATGTTTCTAGTGTGGGTACCATTTAACCATTTAGTATGGGGTATCTATATCTTAGCAGCCTCCTCAACTTGTCACTATACCTGAATCCATTTTAATAATGCAGAGTTGTAATAACTACTTTGAGTTTGCAAGATCCTCTATTTTCAATTTATTTAAATCCTTAAAGTCAGTAAAGTGTTATATATCTTTAGGTACAGTATATAGTCATAGTACATTTTTAATCTCTGGAGTAAGAAAACAGTTTTCTGTACCTTACTAATCTAATAAACTCAGGCAGATTTCTTAGTCCCAGCCTCAGTTTCCCAATTTGCAAAATAGAGTTGTTACAAGGCTGAAGCAAATCAACTATAAAAAGATTAGAGCATTGCCTGACAGTAAAATATGTTTGTTAAAATGAATTAAAATTTCCATTAAAGAATAGTTTTAAATGTATGCTAACGTGTAAATGAGGTTTGACTATAATTTGTTTGAGACTCTTACCTATTAGGGTTAATATATTGTCTTGGAACCCATGTCTTATAGTTTATTCTTATATCATGTATGTTCTCTTTATTCCTATTAAAAATGTATTGAGGACTTGTTATACAGAGTAATGTCCTTGGCTCTGCAGAGCACTCAAATTTAAATAAATCATATTTTTCTCTCAAATTAGATTGGATAAGGCAAATTTTATTTTACTGCCACACTACAAAATAGGTCATGAATGAATTTTTTAAATTTTGAGTTAAGAGTTGTAGCATTTTAAAGACAAGTGTCACAATGGTCGGCAGTCAGGCAAAGTTTCACAGAAAATGTGATGTCTGCAATGGACAGAGATTGATGGGTGGAAATTTAACAGCCTAACAGGACCAAAAACGTAGGAAATGTGTAATATATAAGGAGAAGGGAGTAATCTTGTATGCTTTACTATCTCTATGGCCCTGAAATGTCCATTTTTTTTAACTTGGATAGTTGCTGCACAATATGTAATTTATTAACATTTTATAAATAGGACTTTTTATGGTTGTTTGGGGGTCACATCTGACGATGCTCAGTACTTCTGGCACTTCACTCAAGAATTAACTCCTGGCAGTTAATTGGGAGACCATATGGGATGCCGGGGATTGAACCCGGGCCAGCCATGTGCAAGGCGAGTACCCTATCCACTGTACTATTGCTCCAGTACCAGGATTTTTTTTTTAAACAATGATAGACCAAAGTGGTGAGAAACTGAGAGAGAAGATGGTGGTGGCACAGTTGCAGGTGCGAGAGCTGGCAGAATAGTAGCAGCTCTCAGCACTCTGAAAAGCAGGGCTGATGGGATCATAAAATTTCTGTGAGAATGACTCTAGGTGCTCTTTGAATATTTTCTCTCAGAAAGAGTGGCTTTTCTTGTTATCTATATTGCAAAACCATGTTGTCCAAAAGTAGAGAGAGAGTTTGGGGGACATCCCAGCCTTCCCCCATAGAGGCTGGGATGGTGGGGGGGGGGGATACTGGGGACATTGGTGGTGGAGAATGTTCAATGGTGGAGGGATGTTTGATATTGTTTGACTAAAACTCAAACATGAAAGTTTTGTAACTGTATCTCACAGTGATTCTCTAAAAACAGTGCCTTTATGTGGAACCAAACTGGTGCCTGCAGCAGAGCACTGGCCAGAGTGGGACTCGTGAAGATAGTAGCGGCACTCGTGCAGACTCCAAAACTGATGGACCTGCTGCAGCTCTTAGCCCTACAGGAAGTTGGCCATCATGGTGGCAGAAGTTTAGTGTGAATATGAACAGGGCTCTTCAGCTCCAACTTGGCAGTACTGCGGAGTGTGGGTCCTGAAGTTCAGGGGGCAACCTGGTTCCCACCATGGGAGGCCAACTCAAGCAACTCACCACTGACAAGGCATTGTCGCCACCATTTCTTCCCCAGACCACCCAATACTGCTAGTGCTACCATAGGATATTATAGAGGAAATCCTCCTTGAGTGCCAACCCTGGAGAATGAGGATGGGGGCATGTGCCCCTAGGCAGGTTCTGCAGGATTGCTGGCTATGGCCCACCCAGAGTGCCCAAGCTATGAATGGTAGCAACCCTGGCCTTGGTTGTGGTCCCTCCCAGCATGACTCCTTCTTCGACTGGTGTCAAAGGACACCTCACCACCAGCAGATCAACCTGAACCCAGGTGGGGGGGTTGGTGGGCGAGGCATAAGCAACTTTATGGTACCCTCGGCCTTCCTGATACCACTAAATCGCTGCTTTGCTTCTGGCCAGACTCCCAACAACTCAGGACCAAGTTTTCCAAGAAATTTAACTGCCAAAAGTTACGTATGTGGGAACCACTCCTATAGACACCCTCCGGCTCAGCTATATAAGCTCATTTATCAGATTTGCTCCACTGTATCTCACAGTGATTCAATAAAAAGAGTGGCTTTAAGTGGAACCAAACTGGTGTCTGCAGCAGAGCATTGTCCATAGTGGGACTTGTGAAGATAGCAGCGGCGCCCATGCAGGCTTCAAAGCTAATGGAGGTGCTGTACCTCTCAGCCCTATAGGAAGCTGGCCATCATGGTGGCAGAAGTTTAGTGTGAATGAACAGGGCTAGAGTTAATCTTGGACCTGTACAAGGCTGAACAGATTAGAGTAGATTGGAGGGGGGCAGATTTGCTTGGTGCCTGCCCAAGCAGAGCCCCGCGAGGCAGCTTGCTCCCACAATCCAAATTGCCACCATGTCCTTGGCCAGACTACATCATCTTGGGATGGACCTCACCAAGATAATTAATGTGCTGAAAATTTGGGTATGTAGGTTTTGTAACTGAAATCTCCAGGTTTTCTTGGAGTTGGGATATGCTACCTTCCTCCACTTCCCTATACTCCTGGAAACACCCACAGTCACCCCATGAACCAACTCTAGCACCACCATATAAGCTCTTCTATTGATGTTGCTTCAGAGACCCATAAATAAATCTTGAAAGAGATCAAAAGCTACAGTTAATCTCGGAACTGTGCAAGGCTGAACAGATCAGGGTAGGTAGGAAAGGGGTGGGTTTGCCTGGTGCCCACCCAAACAGAGCCCTGGCAGCTACTTGCTTCGACAATACAAAGTCACCACCCTGTCCCTGGCCAGACTCCACCATCTTGGGATGGACCTCACCAAGATTAATCTCCTGTAAATTTGTGTATGTGGGTTTTGTGCCTGAAATCTCCAGGCTTTCTCCAGGTCAGAATGGGCTTCCTCTCCCACCAACCTGTACTTCCAGAAACCTCAGTAGTCAGGCCCACACTCCAAAGATTCCATCCAGTTTTTAAAAAGCTACTCCAGATGTACTTTCCTGATAAAAATACTGAACACCTAGAACAAAAACGATAATCTCTTAGCACCTGTATTGCAAATCATAATGCACAAAAGGAGAGAAAGAAAGACAAAGGTGACTGCTATAGAGGCAGGTGGGGAGAGGGGGGTTAGAGGCATGGTAGGAGGGAAACTGGGGAAATTGGTTTTGGGAAATGTGCACTAGTGGAGGGATGGGTATTGGAGTGATAGCACAGCGGTAGGGCATTTGCCTTGCACGCAGCCAACATGGCCGACCCGAGTTCGATTCCTCCACCCCTCTCGGAGAGCCCGGCAAGCTACCGAGAGTATCTCGCCCACACGGCAGAGCCTGGCAAGCCACCTGTGATGTATTCGATATGCCAAACACAGTAACAACAAAATCTCCAATGGAGACTTTACTGGGCCCGCTCGAGCAAATCGCTGAACAACGGGAGGGCCTTTACCTTTACCTTTACCTTTTATTCTATGCATTAATTTGGCAAATATTTACATACAAGTTACAAAATGAATGTAATGGTTTGGATGAGAAATGGTAGCAGTTTGTACTGGATTGATAAGAGAAGTGGTAATATAGAGGGACAGGATGCTAGCAGTCTTATAAACATGAGGTAGGGAGGTAGCCTTAATGAGATTTAGCAAGAAAAGTGAGGTACTAGAAATAAAAGAGGGAAATAGTATTCAAAGCTGATGCCAAGAGGAAAAAAACATATACCTTTGAAGAATTGGGTGGTAAGTAAGAAAGGAATTTGGGAAGTATAAAATTTGTTTTGGGGCAAGTTGAGTTCAGTGTGTTAGTGGAACATCAAGATAAGAGATTCTGCTGGGAGTACAAAATATAAGACAAGGTCTCTAAGAGCCCAGGTTTAGCGATATTAGTAAGTGATAGTTGAAGCAAGAAAACTTAGCAAGTTTACCAATGAAAAGGAGAGAAATAAGAGACCAACTGCAGATACAACCTTTGAATAATTGTGTTCCTGTTGGAAACTGAGACAGACAGTAACAGAAATAGGGGAGAAGTAATTGAAGAGGTAGTCTTATTACCTCTCAAGTCATAAATATGTAATTATTACAAAATAAGCTAGCTACATTCCTTTTAT